TTTCCATTAATTATTACTTTAAATTATTATTGATCATACATCGAACACTGCAAAAGAACAAGTAACATTTTAGGATTAAAGTAGGTGTTCAAATAAGCCACCGTTTTCTCGCAACCACAACTCTCATTACTGCTTCACAGGATTTTCTGATCATTTCTGGGGTAATTCTGTTAACCTTCTATAACAGCGTAATTAAAGGAAACATCAATGCCTACTACCATAAAATCTTAATTTTGTTAATTTTAATTATTTATCTTGACCGAACATAATCATGTTATACATGGGTGAAGAGCATATTTAAAGGGGAATTTAAAAATGCAGAAATTCAATATGGCGCCCATAAGAAAAACAATAGTTGACTTCGGCCTCATTGAACATAGTGGGCCTAGATTATTTTTTACTTCATTTTCAAATTCACGCTCATTTCTTTATAATAAACACGGTATAAAAGATTTTATAAAACGCACTTTTTTCTTTTTTTCCCTGTATATCCGTTGCTATTCCGAGTTCAAAAAAGTTGATGACAGATTATTTATAGGCACTTGATTGCGCAACTTTTTTCCATTTGGTGCACTCTGTATCATTAACGGTTTCCAATATCCCCATGTACATCATTTYATACTGGACACACTGTATAATATAATATTATTAATATAATTTTTTTTGACTAAATATAATAAGTTCTACGAAAAGCTCCAGTTTTGCATTTAATTCATATTAATTTTGATTGAAATGAAAACAAACACTTTTTCAGTTCTTTAGTCAGAAGAGAAGAGAACACAAATAGCCAAAAACAGAAAATTTGTATTTTATCAATTGAAAATATTTTATAACATTCTGTTTTAGAATTCTAGACTTTATCAACGTAATGGCCTATGATTTTCACGGTGCGTTTGATGATTATGTTGGTCATCACACTCTTCTGTACTCGAGTGAAATCGATGCTTTATACAACAACTCAGACTGGAATATCGTAAGTTAACTTTACTGAGAAAAGCTGAATTTCCTTTTCCTTTTCTTGTTATTTTCTTTAGCAGCTTCTACATCTGCTTAATGTGCTTGGTATATTTTTATTGTCACCATTTAATCAATTTACCTAAAACTCCAAGATTTTCTTCTCAACTAGTACTAAGTATTTCAACTACCACCATAATCATAATAGTTATTAGCCTTGTTTGTCTTAAACCTGGAGTCTTGGTTAAATGTACTTTGTTCTCATAATCGATTGCTAATTAAATTAAATTGTTAGGATGACGGTGTGAAATACTGGATATCATCTGGTGCCGATCCAGCCAAGATGAACTTTGGAATCGCCACATACGCCAGAACATTTACCTTGGCTGATCCTTCTAACGCCTCCCTTTATGCAAATATTACAGAAGGTGGTCTTGCTGGCCCTTACACGAGAAGCTTGGGAGTTTTAGGGTACAACGAGGTAAGCTTTTCGAGACCATAAGCAGATATTTCTTTAAAGCTCTGTTAATATTAACAGATTTGCGAAACATATCCAAACGCTGAAGACATTTGGGACGACGTGCAAAAAGTACCACATTTAGTGATTGGCGACCAATGGATCGGTTACGACAACGAAAAGTCAATTGGTATTAAAGTGGATTATGCTCTGGAGAAGAACTTAGGTGGTTTCATGGTGTGGAGCTTTGATACTGACGACTTCACTGGTTATTGCGGCGAAGGGACTTACCCTCTTATCAACAACATTCACAGCCATTTGAAAACTCGCGGTTACAAAATGAAAGCTGAYAATTAAGAGGATTTGCTGGAATGTTGATGTAATAATTTAGGAGAAGTTGATTACAGAACTGTCGGWTGAATAAAGTTTATATTTTTGTATTATTTCGTAAGGAAAGTTGCAAATAAAAAAAAAACATATTTAAAAAAAGTAGAGGATACATTTTAGAAATGCGATCCATTTTGAACTAAACAAACGACCTGCGGTTGATAAGTTAAATKATTTTCAGGGGAAAATTGAAAAACGGTCAATTCGAAAAAGCAAAAATGTGCSACTAACACAAGTAAATRACATAATAATAAAACTAAATGCAAGTGATCCGCTTATTGATCTCATACAWTRATGCTAATAAAGTTCAGGATTCCAGCAACGAAGATTTTGTTAATCGRAAATGTGCAAACCAAATCGGCCTAACATGGATGATRATAAGCTACTTAAAATAAGGTTAAAGCTGAGTTTGGAATGAGCCMTGGAATAAAGATTCTTAAGATTTCTTAAAAGATCGAAAAGTTCCGAGATGGTGGCAATCTTTTTGTTACGTAAAATGTTCATTTTSCTTTTAGAACTACTACTTGATTGATTTAAATTAGTGACGTGGAAAAGTGGATACAGTMAGCAGTAAGCTGGTGAACTGATTCATCCAATGTTTCTGAGTTATAGATCTGAAGACTTGTTAAAACCTTTTACGTAGACAACACATACATTAATTTATACACATTTACAACATTCTACAAGCCGATTGGAAAATTTAATTGTTTAGAGCTGCATAAAACGGTTACGTCTCAAATCTAAAGCTATTTTTCAATAGTCTTTAGTCTCTTAATTATAATCTTAATTATAATCTTCTAATAAAATTATAATATTGGGTTAATGTTTTATAATAACATAAAACTAAATTATTTCTTTACATTTAATTTTAGTTCGTTCTAAATAATTATTTCATATGCAGTTATGAACATTTAATTGAACTAAAGGAAACATTTTATAAAATGTGTTCAAAATTTTAGTCATTCTCAGCCAAATTTCTCTTTCAAAAGACTCGTTTGAATTTCCAACATTTCAGGTTATTAAAGGACTTAAAGACAAAGTCGTTTTCTTATATTTTCCACTGAAATGTCAATGAAATCAAACAAAATCAAAATATGCTTTATTGCCACAGAAAATTTGAAATATATTTTGCAAATGACACACATGAACCCAGGTAAAATACAAAAAAAAACCACCAACCATTACAAAACGCGAGCACAATACACAATAGAGGCCAATATAATTAACAAAATGTTAAATGCCCCCCAACATTCCAGCAAGGAAGTTGGGGGGCATTCTTTTTAAGAAGCTCTGCAGCTTCTTAAAAAGAAGTTAAAAGGAGAGAAAAATGTGCTAAAAATAAATAATATGTTTCATACTTAAAAGTAAGCAAGCATATATTTTTTTGTAAAACCGTCAGAAATGTCTATAAAAAATCAATACTTCATGGAATAAACATTAGTTTTCTCTTCGTATTTGACCATTAACAGGTCACACGTACAGGGTATTAGCAGAGGTAAATATTTGCAAAATTTTTATTTTAGAGTTAACTGCTTATATGTAATCAAATGGAGTTTTAATTATTTCCTACCTTTATCATTAGCTCAGTTCAGATAGCACATCCTTCGCTGTCCAATAGATTTATTCGCAAAACTGTTGTTAATAAAGGTGCAAAATATCTTGAAAACTGATTTACAAATAACTATCTACTGGACAAAACGAGAAATCGACTACAAACTTATTATAATAATAAAGATAAAATACGCATTTGTAATACAGCACAAAACACAAGGCAATTGCATAGTCATGAGTGTTTTACATGAAACAAAAGGAGTATCTGTTTTTGCGACTTGCAAATTTTTTTCGCAGATGCTCACACTACATACGACGTTATACCTAAAATAATTTCATAATCATTCGCCTAATCATCTGGGATAGTAATAAACGTCGAACTCTAATTGTTTCTAATTTGAACTTTGCTTCTAGTTTAAGTGGAGGCATATTTTGCAGTCGATGCTCATTTTTCGGGATCGTACAGAAGGTTTTCCATTACTTGCATTACTTCTTCCAGGATTTTGTTTATTTTTCTGGATTAAACGCTTTTCCCGATTCCATTTTATAGGTGTTTTGATTTTTTGCAACCGGCGATGAAAATAATTACTTTTTTTGAGATTTGCTAAAGAATATTCTTGAAAAATGTTGCAATGTGATTTTGTATCAAATCTTAAGAACAACTCGTTTTTAAAAAGAATATCTACTTTGCCATATTTGCAAAATTATTATCTACATTGTCTCAACACATTTTTGATATTCATTGCTAATTTTTCCAATTTTAATTTTGCAATTTGGAAAATATATGTAAGCTCTGAATTTTCTCAAAAACTTCAACTCCCGTGATCAATCTGCAAATTGTTCGTTATCTAGTAGACTTTCTAGCTCTTTTAATTTAGATAAAATAAATTAAGTATTTTTATATAGAACGTTTAACATCTCAAAAAGGCTAAAAACACGTAAGAAGCAGAAAGGTGAAGAAAATGTAATTCCCTTTAATCTTAATCTTGTCTACGATCTAGAGAATACTCGCAAGTCTACCTATTAATGTTGGTGAAATTATAAAAAAAAAACATGTTCACTTTCTGATAATTCCAAATTTATTCATTTGCTGTTTTCATTCTTCATAGAATTGCTTCCAAAACAACCAGATCCTCGGACTTCGCCTTTGTGCAACTTATCTTTTGATTCAATATTAATGATACGCAGTGCAAAGAGACATTAAAAAACAAAGAAACATAATATGAAATGCGCCTACTTTTTAATCCACGGCAACTATCCAGTAGATTTTCTAAGTTAAGCTTAGCGTTTCAAACGTTCTGCTCTAAAAATATATTTTATATTCTTGTTAGTGTCTCTTAATAGCAAATGATTTCTATAAATGTATCTTTAATTATTTCTAAAAAATATGTTATATGTAGATATGAACATTTAATTGAGCCCAAAGAAACATGTTATAAAACGTGGCTTTAAGAAATTTTTCTCAACTCACCAAACTACTTTTCCTGTACCAAAGTTTTTTCACCGAGATGTAAATGAAATAAATTCAAATAAAATAAAAATGTTATTTATTGCCACAGAAAATGTGAAATACATTTTGCGAATGACCCATCAGATCTCCAACAAAGAAAAACTAATAGTACAAGACATAATACAAAAATACCAGACAAAACACGAATATAATACAGAATAATATAATTAACAACATTTTAAATGCCTGAAATTCAACATTCCAGCAAGAAAATTGGTTGCAAAGATTCACAAAAAGAAGTCAAAAAGAGTCAAACGTAAAGTAAACGTAGATATAAATCACCCCAATGCTTCAAAGAAGACACGTCGGTTTTCTTTTCGCATTTGACCATTAACATTATGTAGAGGGTTTTAAGCAAAATTTATATTTCAAATGTAACGATTTTTTACACCGTTACTCTTTATTTTATACTTATTTTTTTATTGTGGTTCTAAAGAATTCACCTCCACACCACAATCAGTGAGCTGACGCATACATATATGAAGTAGAACAACACATTTAGCTTTACATATCTTACCTACCATTCTAAACAACAGCTTGTATAAAGAAGACTTAAGATAAACACAATTTTTCTCATTTTGCAGCTCCAAAGTGAGTCAATCTAATCAACTATTTACTATAACATTTTTTTGTAAATTATCCGGAATCTTTGATGTACTGAAGGTAAGTATTTATTTGAAAGTTATGATTCCATTTAATGTCCATTGAAACACAAATAGAACTATATTTTTTCGATTCTAAAATTTCCGATATTGAACGTAAAAGTATTGATTTCGGAACACTTAACTGTCGTGCTTATATATGCAGTTTTAATTATTTCCTACTTTTCCCAATAGCTCAGTTTTGATCTACTTGGCAAGTGATCCTTCGCTGTCCAATAGATGAATTCGCAAAACGATTGTTAATAAAACTGCAAAAAGTCCTACAAACCGAATTCCAAATAAACACTCAACAAAACTAGAAGTCGACCACAAACTAATTATAATAATAAAAATAAAATACGCATGCTTTCATTCATAATACAGCCCAAAACACAAGGCAATTGCATAGACATGCGTGTTTTCCAAGGAATAAAAGGAGTATCTGTCTTTTTCCGGATCCCAAAGAAACCTGCAGGTCGCGTACACGTCTTGCGAATTTTTTTCTCCGATGGTCACAATGCATACCACCTTATACCTACAATCATGTCTTAATCCTTCTTTCAATTATCTGGGATAATAATACCTGTCGAACTCTAATTGTTTAACTTTGCTTCTAATTTGAGTAGAGGCATATTTTGCAGTCGCTGCACATTTTTCGGGATCGTACTGAAGATTTTCCATTACCTCTTGCATTACTTCTTCGAGGATTTTGTCTACTTTTTCAGGATTGAACGGTTTTTCCGATTCCATTTTATAGGTGTTTTGATATTTTGCAGCCTATGATGAAAATAATTACATTTCTTTTGAGATTCGCTATAGAATATTATTCGAAAAGGTTACAATTGTACTAGTTTATAGGTTTACAAAAATGTGATTTTCTATCCCATCTTAAAAGTCACCCCTTTTCAAGAAAGTTATCTACTCTGCCACATCGCAGAACGATTATCCACATTTGCCGTAAGACATTTTAGATATAATCGATAATTAATTAACTATAGGCGCTTCAATTTTTCTAGCCATTTCGCTACTTCGTAATTATCTATTAAAGCTCAAAAAACCCAAAAAGACTCAGCTCACAAATGTGCAAACATTTCCTATTATAACCGACTATCTAGCTCTATTAATTTAGAAAATTCAGCTACTACGCATGAAAACTCAACATACATTTATATGCTTCTTAAATATTTAAAGTATTTAAATCGGACACTTTCAATACCTACTTATAAATGAATACGGATTCTATGAATACAAAATGAACATCAGGAGTTTAAAATCGTATCCTTACCTCATTGCTATTCCCCAGCAGAGAATAGGTACTCATCGTTATTTTCGAAAAAAAATGTAACTTCTCAGCAAGTTTCAGTTCTGTTACACACACAGTATTTAGTGGAACTTTCAACCTTCCAGTTATGATAGAAGACAGTTCATAGTTTTCCTTTCCCAAGAAAGACGAGACAAATTCTTACGGATATAGACTAGATTTCCGAAGCAAATCGATGGACGGCTTTATGAGGGCACCAGATGGTACAAAATATGTGTTGTCGATCAAATTTCGATCAAGGAAAGTTGGTTTGTGTGTTAGCGACCTATATTGGGGCAAAAATCCATACTTGCCTTTTTATCGTATCCCTCCACAGTGTTACTTTTAATGTCGACGATGCTTCCTAATACCATTCGAGCTTTGCTACTCAGCCCGCCAAATTTTGATTTTCGAGCAATACTAGATCTAGATAAAATTAATTAAAGGTATTTTGTACAGACCGTTTCGAATCTCAAAAGGCAACAACATAGGAAGAACCAGAGAGGAAAAGAAAATCGTATTTTCTTTAATTTCTATCTTATCCAGGATCCAGAGAAAACTGGTAAATGTATTGAAGTTGATTAAATTGTAAAAAACGTGTTCAATTTATAAAAGTGCTAGTTTATTTCTCATAGAATGTCTTGAAAAAAAATAGAATATTTGACACTTAAGTAATAATTTTATTTTCTATTACGCTTTACTTCGTAATATACGATAACTAGGAAATTTCTTTTTCCGTTTTTTAGTTCAGATTTTCTATTATGATGCTTTCTTATTGTTATACAACTATTTTCTTTACATCTAAGTTTAAAAGAAAATGTTGGCTGATATTTTTCAAGAAAAACTGGAAAACACGATAGTTGAAATTTACCTTTGTGAAATGTATCTTTTGAATGAATATAAATTTGAATAATGATAAGCAGGGCAAACATAAATTAGAAAACAAAGAAATATAATCTGAAATCAGTAGACATAATATTGAAAATTCGAATTGCTAAGTTTTTTCCTATTTTTTCAGTTTTAATAATTTCGAAAACGGACAAAACAGCTTTTTAATAAAATAACAACTAATTCATTGTTATTGTCTGCAATTACACCTCTTCGGCCAGTAGGTAGTTTCCCACCAAAATTAAAAAAATTCGCATTTTCCATTAGATACTATAATTACCTACCTTCTTGCATCTCCAGAAGGAAGGCTTGTCCGCCTGAGACCACTGAATCTTCTATCAACTGAGCCAGCAGGAGTAGCAAGTTCAGGAGGCATAAATGTCTCCTGATTAATCGACATGGTTCTAGCTGTAACATCTATTGAAGCTTTCATCTAAAATTCTACTGAGGTCAGATATTTTAGTTTAACAAGTTTTTTGAAAATGCTAACGGATGAACGTCTTCGTGACTCTTCATTAGCTGGCTTACTATCAGGAGGCTTTTCTGGAGCAAGTGCTTCAGGTGGAGGCGGCTGTATTTGCTCAGAAGCATTTTCCACCTCAGGATTTTCAGAAGGAGCGGGCACCGGTTCTGAAGGTTGTTCGGAAGGGATTTCTGATTCTTCTAACGAGGATGATCGTAACAGGGGAAGTTATTATTACAATCAAGTGAAACATTTATGCGTCTTATTTACATTCTGTTCATTTCAACTTAGTATCTCTAAATCATCAATAGTTTAAGGGCATGTAGGTGATTTTTAAACGTCTATTTAAATATGTATTTCTTAATTTTTAATGTTAAGTAATTTGAATGAACAGCCAAATGGGAAATTTACTTCAAATGTATGTTCAACTAAAGTGGTAAATAAACGGGTTTACTGCGTGAAAGGTAAAAAAATGTACAAGTTTTTTATTTTTCACGGCTTTTTTATTGGATACATTGGCAAACTTACCAGTAGTTGGCGCGGAAGGCTTATCAGCATCAGTTGGATTTTCTTCTGGATGAGCCACTGCAGCGGAGTCCTCTTCGGGTTCAGACATGACTTTCAAAATCTTAATCAATCACTTTGATGGTTTCAAAAATAGCAGATCTCAAGCAATGCTTGAACTCTCACTTTTTTCACAGGTACTTATTATTTTTTAAATCAAATTTTTGCTTTATAATAATAGTTTCTGTAAACTTTGGACTTTGGACGCCAAATATAAGATTACTTTTGCCGGTACTAAAAGATTTTTGTATGAATAGAACTAATTTCTGTTATCAAACAGTTTGAAGTTGTAAGTGCTCAAAATTCATGTTGAGTATTTACATATACTTTTCTCCGAGTGTGTTACTTGAGAAATTTCACCGCGCATTAATGGATCTAATGAGCCAGATTTATTATTTTTTACCAATTTTCGCAACTTTTGTCTGAAATCAAAAGTTGACATCGATTATACAAACGAACGTTTTTTTTTTGGATGTTCGTCTGTATTAGCAAACTCATAACTGAAAACAGACAAAAATTCCTGCAAATTCTGGACCGTGAAAAATAAAAAACAAATCAATTTAGCAATTATATTATATTTACCTCATGACAAAACCAATTGAATAAACTTATTCAGTAAATACATTAAAAATAAAACTATTAATTTGAACATTATTCACCGATTTTAAGATTCCGTCTTATTTCATAATATATGAAATTGCGAAAAATGTTATTTGACGACAAGCGTGAGTAGAAAATAATTCGTAGGCTCTTTCACCGTGCTTGCGATTTAAAAAAAGTACATACAAATAACAAAATACAATCAATAGGAAAACTGAAACATTCTTGGATTAGAAACTATAAATCTTTAATACATGAAAGCACAGTCAAACACATCAATTTTACTTCTAACTAATCAGTATAAATCAAGGAGCGTGTGCATTAATATCTCGGAAGGCGGTTGATACTTCGCAGCAGAAATAAAGTGCAGCCACTATAAAGGCCTTCTTAAAAACTGATTCTGAAATAAAACCGAACGGGTTTAAATGGTTTTTAGGCAAATAATTGTCAAGCAACAATAAATTTTATAAATATCTTTATACTAACCATTTAATATCGTATAGAGGAAAATATCTCCCACATCTTTTCCAGCAAAGAAGTAAAAATTCGACAAAGCAGACATGGCCAAGAGTGGAGCTGATAGTAAGCATTTTGTCCTTCGTGGGCTGCTCGGGCAGAGCTTCTTCCAATACCACGAGCTCAAGGTTCTTTTGTACCAATTGCTGGCTAAATTCTCCAACACAATACCGGTAAAATTGAGCAAAGCCCACACAAAGATGTACTCTTCGGTACCATGCCAAATAAAGACAAAAGCGAAACACAGAAACGATGCCCCCAGCTTTGCCAGTCCCAATTTTTGAGCGGGAATAAATATACATCTGAAATACACGTAAGCTTTAAAACTCTAGCATGCACTTAATAAACCATAAATTGGAACATACGTTTTTAAAAATTTATATAATCCAGGATCAAAGTACTTCCACATGTCCGAATATAAATGAATTCTGCCTATGCATCTAGGGAAAGTAGGGACGTTTATATCTTCAAATGAAGCCACACTGGTAGTCAAACCATATAAAACCACATATTTGATGTGAAAGAATTGACCCATCGAATATCCGTATCCGCACAGACTAGACAGATCTAGCGACTTTACAAACTGAAAGTACATTTTTATTAATTCAAACAACACGTTTGCAAAGAAGTAATTACTTGGTTGATTTCACCAATAATAAGGCACTCACCCCTAATTGAAATGATGTTGCATTCACATAAATGAAATGCAACCAGAACTCACTAAAGAGCATCCAAAAGAGGCACCTTAAAATATTAAGCATTAATTTTTTCATCCTCAAATTGAAAGTTCCAGGTTTTCGCATATGCACCTTCATGAAATCCTCATAATCGATAAATGGTCCCGTAAACAATGTAGGCAAATAGAAGCAGTAGGACAGATATTCTTCAAGTCGTTTAGGCGTGTGATTAAGGGCATAACTGGTGCATTTTAAATTCATCCAGCACAGCATCAAAATATGCATGTAGGCCTCAAAAGCGTTTAAACCCATGTACTTTAAAAAAGCTTCTTGGGAGCACATTTTCTTGTACAAAGCAATGAGAGCAAGGCTTAGGATATTCAATATCCATGTGCAAATCGTATTGCGGTTTACTATTGAAATACGAAATATAGCTGGCTGTAACAGGGCGAGCAATGTGACTCTGTATCCCATTGAATATGTTAGGAAAAGCACAGGGGATGCTATTTGAAAATACTGGTGAAACTGAAACAAAAATCATCAGTTACAACTTTATCCGTTGGTGGCCTTCCAAACATACTGATTTGAGTTTTAAAATTATTTAATTTTACAATGTGTAACAAAAAGGTAGTCCAATCTTTCAACTAGATGTTTGTTCAGCGAAATTACTGGAGTTCTATTCATTTTTCAATGAAGTATCATTTTTCAATATTGCAATGAAATTTATTGAAAATCCTTTTGGAATTCCCAAAGTGTTATTTAGTATAAAAACGCTCCACACAAAAAGCAGAAATGCCACGATCAGCAAAATTATTCTATTCCGCCCCATGATCTGATATGTTTTTCTTTGGGTGAAAAAGCTATTTTGTATATGGCGATCATCCAAACAAGTTGGAATGTTAAATGTGTCTATGAAAATATTGCCGTATGAGCTGGCAATTTCTACAACATTGTCAATAATAAAAAATAACTAAAATCGAACAGCAAAGTAAAACGATGGGACGATAAAGCAAACGATTATATCATCTTAATAGTTCTGAAGTTCGGTGCCTTTAGAATGCGGTAAACCTTTTTATATCATGAGATTTTTTCAGAAAGCTGTCTCTGAACACATATTCAGTATCTTACGGGCATCTAACGTAGTAGGTCGCAGGTCCTTTGTGTCTTGCGGTTTTGTGCAAGTGCAAGTTTTCAGTGCATTTGGTGTGGAACTTTATTGTGTGTTCAAGTGTAGTGTATCCTTTTAGAGGATTAATGGGTAGAAAATGGAGAATGGGGCGCCAGCTTGTAGTAAGCTGGTAACACGAATCCCATCTATAAATCCCTTAACTTGAACTGAGTTAAGTTCTTCGAGGAGCAAGTGAAGTTTTATGCCATCCTCTACCTCTCATTCTTTCCTTTGTTGATCTCAACTAATTGGGCTTTGGATTAAGTTTCCGTTATACTAAAAAAGTTTTCCTTTCTTTCCAGGTGTCACAATGCAGCTTTCGGTTTAGCATTTATTTGCCCCTATTTGCCATGTAGATGGTTTTAGTCATATATATTTATAGTATTTTATGATATTGGGGTATTAAATATTCCTTCAACGGGGAACGACGAGGGAGTTTCTGTATTGAGTTTCATAAATTTATTTCTACAGAGATTTTATATAAAATCTTACAACATAATCTGAACTACACTTTTGATTGTCGCGTAAGGTAATTTGCGTCATTACTGATGTTTTTTTCTATGAATGCATCCAAAATTGAACGGTTCTAGTTCTAAAAAATTATGGTCCTCATTTTAATATTTTAACTACTTTTTATTAAGTTTTTCAACATTAACTATCCAGGTTTTCTACATTGGATTGTTCGAATATGGACATTTAGTTTATCAATGTAAATTTAGTGTTGTTCTATTGTGAATTACACTTTTTATTGTCATGTAAGATCATTTGGGTCATTATTGATGATTTTCTGTTAATTTTACCTTAGATTAAATTACACTCATGTTTCAAAACTGAATAGTCAGGTTTTCCCCAGTAGGTTTTTTTTTGTACTTTTCCAATTCAGGTCCTGTTGCGCGCAAACCTTGAATTGTCTTTCTGTTGTAAATTAAACGTTATGCGGTGTTTAAAGGTAAAAAGGTCAAGAATCCAGACCAAAGCGCATAAAAATAGGTGAAACTTATTTATTGCTTTGTGATGGTCAAGCGGATAGCGTTCTAATAGGCTGCAAGTGATATATCTGGTATACTAATTTAGATTTTGCGTTGTTTTTTTCCAAATTTAACACACTAAACAAATTATTTTGCCAAACGATTTGTGCAAGGGAATTTCAGCGGCCAGGGTCCATCCGACTATTCCAGTTTTTATGGCTGTCCAGCGACCTTCAGGTTGTAAATCCATATCAAGATTATCACCAGACTTTCGGACGTTCTTCCAAATTTAAGCCAATAAATGGCATTGAGTTTTTGGAGGAAAATTAAAGATTTAGGAAATTTCAGCGGTCTGGATCCGATCAGTATTTTACTTTGTAGAAGTAGGTGGCAACCAGGGTTGTAAATTTTCTTTGATAACATTTATGCTGCTGGCATGTGCAGTTTTGTATTTTATATGATGGCGTTAGCCAAGTTTATGGATTTTTAGACGAATTTCTCCGATGTTAATCCGAATTATTGATTTACCGATACACCCCTCGAATCGTGAGCTTCTCCTAGACCTTTCAATCGTTTCCTATTAACGGATTAAATTTCCTAAAAGATTTGCTAGTTGGGCGACGAAAACCAAACATTCGTAAAAACTGCAATGTAAATTTAGGAAAAACCACTACATAATCTGGTCATGTTATCTCCTTTCGGAAATGGCAGCGCTCTTGTTTTTCGTCGCCCAACTAGCAAATCTTTTAGGAAATTTCATCCGTTAATAGGAAAAGATTGAAAGGTCTAGGAGAAACTCACGATTCGGGGGGTGTATCGGTAAATCAATAATTCGGATTAACATCGGAGAAATTCGTCTAAAACTCCAAATTTGCAGTCACAGACAATCGTTGAAAACTAGCCAGCCTAACTGAATATATACTTACATATGTATTTTGAATCACCCTGTATTCAAAGGGCTCATTTAGCTCAGCTTAAGATGAGTAAAACTCCAAACTTTATGTAATGTTTTATTTTTAATATTGGTCTTACATACTTACAGGGTTAAAGACTTACCTGTATATTGTTTATTGCCAAATACCTTCCTGCTTCAGACAACCCCAAATAAATTAATATTATAGGATATATCGCAGTGATAAAATATTTAATATTTTGCCATTCAAAATCCGCAATATCCCTGTTTGGAAAATTGAGAAACGCCCAGCCTTCAGTAAAGTCTCCATACTGGTCATGATATGAATGAAAATCTGCAAAACTCTTAAATTAGACGCTACCTGAGAACTATATTAATTTTATTGTAACTTACATGACTGAGACGATATGGTAAATTTGTATATAACGTATAAAACAACAGTAATCCATGCTAGCAAACAGAATTTTGATTCAAAACGTTGAAGTTTGATTGTAAAGGCCATTAGAGTACAAAACAATACAATAGAGCTTGGCCATTTGGGGACATTCAAAATTTATTATTGTTATGTTTTCCTATTTTGTTTACTATTTTATATTTACTTTCTGCGGTCTTTCAGTCTGATAACCTTACTTATATTGAATCATTATTGAATGTAATTCTGCTATCGACAATGAGTATGTCGACCTAACTTTGTAATACGCAAACACAGTGTTGTCAAGTGGGCAAAAATTATTGATATTTATGTAAATGGTATAATTTAGTGTGTCTGCATTCAAAATAAAATACTTAGGTAATTATAACCATAGCATGACTATGAACATGAGAAATTAATTTTGAAAAAAATATCGATTTGAGACTAAAAGTGTTATCACATCTGTATAAAATGGCAAGCCGCTTTGTGATACATTAATGATATTGCTCATAGATCAAACATCCCTATAAGACTAAAAGTCAAGCAACACTGTCGTCGTCATAACAACGTGTCACTTGTCGATAGTGGTCGGCAAGTCGGGTCAATTCAAAGATCCGGATCTTCTTAAAGATTCGGATCCCAAGTCTCAGTCTGGGGTCAACGGAGCTTTCAAAAATAAAATAAAAGTTATAATATCAACAATAATTTTTATCATTTTCATTAAAAATATTTTTTCTTTTATTAAATTTGATTCACTAAAGTTTTTGTAAGTGTTGTAATACTATCACAACTAAGTTGTACGGCATTTGCACGCTGCTTTATTTCTAGACATATAAAAGATCGCTTAAGGTCCGAGACCTGTATTTGAAAAATTTCAAAATCCGGATCCGTCGGGTCTTTTCAAAGATCCGGACAGAGGCAAGTCTTGTCTCTGATCCGGATCCCTGTGTCGGGTCGTTCTATGGTCGGGTCAGTTCCGACCCGCCATAACTAATTGTCGGACGTCAAAGTTCATAGTTCATCTCACTGTTTTTTATCGCTCAAATATCATTTGGCAAATACTGTTTGGGTTTTCACACCAATTTTCTTTCAGCAACGCTGAATTACGATATTACAAAGAAACTGTGTGTAACTTTCACACTATTACTAGTGGCCTAACCTATATATAACTACACGGTGACCAGCGCAGCTTGCTTAGTATATCGTACACCGCCCTTAATATTTCCTAAAAACACCCTTTTATGTTTATGTGTGTTGGTAGAGTGTTTAGTATTAGTGTTGTGTAATTAACTAATAATTGTAATTTTACATTCTTGAGTGATTATTAACTAGCAGTGTGAGGTAATCTCCATAGTCCAATAGAAGGTTAAACAAGTTGTTAATTTTACAAACAATTGTTGTTTTAGTTGGTAAAAAGTTCAGCGTTGATAAACAACTCCCGTACCGACAATATTGCTTCAAAAACTTGAACGCACAATGCCTGCAGCTGTTGAAGAAACCAGTGTTAACACAAATGCGAATTCTACAGCAAACTCAGCTGCAGAAAATCAAGAGGAGGAAGATAAAAGTGAAGACAGAGATCAGAAAATGTGGAAAGTTCTAAAAGCGTATATACTTAAAGACCGGGCAAGGAAGAAACAAGAACGGGAAGCTGAGGTACAGGAAGAGAGGTAAATGTTTTAGTTACTTGCAGGCAGTTTTGAACGAACTAACTTGGTCGCAAACATCTTTATGCTATTATCATTTGCACATGTTTTCAGCTTCTAATTCATCTAAAAAAATCAGCACATAAGTGGCACGCTTAGAACAAATTTTCATAAAACAGTCAGTCAGCTTAACCGAAGAAACATCTGCGAACAACGATTTTTTTGCACAAACAGCAAAAATCTCAATTAGTTGGAAACGCATTACTTTTGAGCTTGCCCCAACGTGTTAGCAGCCATCGTGTTACAGAAAACCTAATTCAGAATGATTTGAGTTGAGGCCAAAGGTATTCTCCTTAACAAGAGAAAAAACTTGGTTGTGCTGACCCATATACCTGGCGGAGTTTCATTTTTTTTGTGTGTTTTTACTTAAATAGCACCTGAAACTCAGTTTTATTGGAAAAAAATCGTAATTTGACCATAAAATTCGCTGAAAAACATTTTACACACTTTCACAATTATTTCGGAACACCACCTGTTCACAATAAACACGAAATATACCTATAAAACCATATATGTACAAGAAATTGAGATTAAGATGGGGCGTACAAAATTGTATATTTTTTCATTATCATTAAGTTTTTACTAAAGTTTAGATTTTATTTTTAACATGTTCATTGTTGCATGCCATCTAGGATCTCATGCTATTTAATATTTACTTATTTTCGACACTGATCTAAAGGCAACGTTGATAATCATTGTATTAATTGTTTAGTTTTGTCTTTTTTTATTATTTTTTTACTTAAATAGGACTAGTTGGACATGTGGGAAACCCYTGGTAAGAATGGATTTTMTATTTATACGTTATACCWACATATACAGTGTCTCTAYAGTAGTAATACTACAGTTCACATGGATAACTATTATTAATTTWATGGAAAAAAAAWTATTCTTCATAAATAGTTCGGCTTGGGCCAAAACCTAAAATGCCCTCGTCATATTAGAAAATGTGAATTTTGCTCAAGAATAAAGTATTTTCATTTTTGACAATATCGAAAATTGTTATTAAGAAAAGTTTATCAGAACTAAGTAAAGAAGAAGTAAATCAGGCAACTAACAAACAGTTGCCAAGTTATAAAACTTGGCTGAGCACATAGCTAACACATGTAGAGAAATATGCAAGTTTGGTCTTAAATAATMTTTCTTTATATGCAAAATACTTTTTGAAAGTAATTGATGTTTTTTTAAATAAGTTTAACAAATGTGTAAACATTGTTTCCACAKATAATCTAGACCACAACTAAGGGAATSRGAAAAGCAGTTTTGGCGCAGATTTGAAATTCATGAAAATGTGTAAAAAAATATCTGTTAAATGAAGAAAAATAGATCAAATAACCCGTTGAATAAAAATATACAAATAAAACATAAAAATTAAATGAAAAATTGAGAATTAAAAAACTGGAAATAGCCCAAAACACCAAAAACTTAGTTAATTAGGAATTTAATAATGGGATGTGCGACGGTTTAGCTCCTATTCCATTGCAAAAAAGGAACTGCAAAATAATTGTTTAATGTGGCAAATAAGACATTGTAGCATAAATATGCCATTAGAGAACTAAACCGTAAAAAATTGATATTTTTGCACAATGCATGTTTCTTTTAAATACACTTCATGTTAATGTACTTAGTAACTTAGTAAACCTCGTTGTTTCAAAGCTTCATTTAAAAGACAAAAAAATATATTTTTTGAAAGCTGTCTTGTTCTGTCTAAAGTGCTGCTTAAAGAACTTGTTCTCTCAACGTACCTGGCTGAATTAGTAGTTGTTTTTTTCGGTCTTTAAAATCAAGCCTCCAAAACTACTAACTCAATGTTTCAAAAATCAATGCAATAATCGAACAGTTTTCCAGAAGGTAAAACAGTTTAGAACGTAGCCACCAGTAAATATCCAGTTTAATACTCCGTTTTCCCTTTTCAATAAATACATCTACTTCATATATATATAAATCATGTTACATACTATCAAAATAATCAACTTTGATTTTGTATTCAGATTACGTAAGGAACGGGAGGCAAGAGAACAACAAGATGTAATGACTCTAGGAGAGACTCGTGAGCAAATTTCACAACTTGAAGCCAAACTGCAACAGTTGAAAGATGAAAAACACCAATTATTTTTGCAGCTAAAGAAAGTTCTAAATGAAGACGACAATAGAAGGCGCCAGTTACAGAAAGATGCCAAGTAAGAATACCGCAAATGCAATGCAGTTACTTTAGTTTGTTTAGTTGCACAGTCTTGAATGTTTTCTAGACATTTTCAAGCCCGATTTAAGCGACTGCAGATGCTGGTGGTAATTTTAAATTGTTATTTCTATTAGTGAGCAACATATGGTTCAGATTCAGTCCTTGCAACAGATGGTGCCTCAGATGCCTCAAACGCTCTATATTCAACAGCCTCCGGGCAGAATACAAACTATCGCGCAGCAAGTTGTTCCTCCGATGCAACCTGCCATTTACAAGACTGCCGTGAAAAGACCGCGGAGCCCCAGTCCTCCACCTCAAGCGCCTGTGTCCATGTACCATCCAGTTTATTCATCTTATAAACCTCCCACAGTTGCAGTAGCAAGTTCGTATCAGGGATCGACAGCAAGTAAGATTATTTATACATGTTTATACACCTTTATCTGCGGACATTTCTGTTAAGTGAATTTCTTACGTGGTAGTACTAATTAGGCGTAGTAGAGTACTTAGTAGTTTTTTTTTATAGGGCTTAGTATTCGAATATACAGGGTTACCCCAAATTCGGTTGCATTATTTTAACTGAGTATTCTGCAATCAAATGTAACACGAATAGTTTATGAAGACAAAAGTTTTTTGCAATTTCCACTACACTTTTTCTCACTTATGATATTTAGGTCAAATTCGAAATTATATGGTCTGCTTTGTTGATGCCAATTGATTTTTTCTAGGTTTAAAGCCCCGTTTGATCGTTCAATTTTAATAATTTCCTATTTTTCCCTATTCAATTTGGAAACTTTATCGAGTTACTTGATGATGATCTGAAGCATTATCAGCATAAATATGTGAGTTAACGTATACTAGGACACCAAGCAGCATTACAAGAAATTGCATCAAAAACCCAAGCACAGTTCCAATTAAAGTAGGTTCATATGACACCTAGCTAGAACCTTGTGAACAAAGTTAGAATATAACTTTTGCTGTTAGAATATGTAGTTAAAAATATGCAACCTAATTTCTGTATAGTTTAAGCATGTTAAACACTACTGATTGCATTGTATTCACTATGCATGCCTTCTGAAACTTGAAGAGTTTAAAGTACACCTTAAGGACTTTTAGATTTTGTTATTCCGATCTGTTTGGTATTTCATGCTATTTTGTAGCGAATATTGGATGGCACTATTTTGTAGTACTTTAAGTTGAATTAAAGTAAATTTCTGTTTGCAGAGGATGATGGTAGACGTAACGAATTAGTCCGAGCAGTGTTATGGAACAGTGAGTTTTCAAGTATTTGTTTTTGGGTCAGTGTCTCATTGTGGAATGGTTTTGGTGTTGCTAACACAGACTGCCTTTCTTTTGTTTTGTGGCGTTAAATTACAATTTGGTATTCATCAAAGGCTATTAAGTCCTGTTGGGAGGTGCAAATCGGTTTGAAATAAGCCAGTTAACATTGCCTATCTGAAAAGAGTGTTTTTAAAAAAGCGGCAATGCTTAAAGAGTTAATTTCACAGGTCATGTTTTTCAAAAGACCAAAAGGGAGATTTGAATTAAGTTTATGACCTCTGTGATTTCGTCTTTAGTTTCAATGCTATTTCAAGATCTCATAATGCCCCATAATAGAGTGAATTCCAATCGCGTGTTAAAGTTTTGTTCGTGTAAACCAATTGGGAAAAATTGGGAAAGCACATGAATTTCCTTTTGCAATAAATATTTAGTAAACCAAAAATCGTTGCTTTGATTTTTCGGATGTTATTGTATTGGATGTTATTTGATAAACGTCGTTTTTTTTAATTACAATATTATTTATTGGCGTTACGATCAAAGTAGATACAAAACCCAATTCAGTTTCTTATAGCAATTTTAAGACAACGAGAAACACATCGGTTTAATCATTTCGTGAATACGGCCCTGTTTGCATATGGAAAAAAATCGAATAGGTATTTTCATTTGATATTTTTCATTTTCCAACGATTCCAATATAAAATCGCGTTCACAATAGGGTCATTGCTCATGCTAAAGATACAATCTCGCTTTAAAAGGACGTCACACGACTTTGATATAAAATCTTTAGAGACTTAAGACTTTGCTAATAAATTCGTGATGACTAGGTAGATTAAGAAAAAAAATTGTAGTACTCTTATTTGTTCGTAAGTTAATAATTGTTTCATGAAAACTAAACTTCGAAGATCGGTTGAGGTTGTGAACGAATGAAATGTGGTTTACATGCTGACGTAAAGTTCCTATAAGAAAGTTGAGTTGCTAGTGTTCTGGCGTAACTTTGCGTTTTCGATATTCCAGGACAGTGTATTTACTTGTAATATTTTAACGGCTTTTACCATTTGAAAATACATACTGCTGTGTGCAATTTTATTACATGCAAAGAACCATATGATTCCGAGCTTAAGAAATGAAAGACAGCGCTTTCAAATTTTGGTATTGGGAAGAAAAGATACATTGATTCTAAAGTGATAATATAACGCAGTTTTCTGAGTTTGGAATTGTTTATGTACCTGATAAATAGGCATATAAAAGTGTTTTTGGGTGGAACCCATTTCAAATTGAATACTTTAAAATAGAAAACACTAATGATACCATGGAAAGACGGATCTTTCTAGGTACCCCATCGAAATTTGGCAAATGAAATTGGTTTACCAGAGTTAGTATACACAACTACCTCACCTGCAGGTCGGTATTTATTGTTTGACAAAACTTTCTTGAACAAACGAATACTTCAGTACTTGTAGTGAGTACATATTATTGCATGCTGGACTTGTTTACTACTTTCGTGATTTTTGTGAAGACTATCTTTGTTCTTAATATCCACATTTATCATTTATCAAGTGATCGCTATTTTGTCATGCATGGCCAGCAAAATATGTACTATTGAGTATCATTCAAATAGTGTTAATTATCACCGTAAACTTTTTTAAAAGTTCAGAAATAAACTGATAAATACAACATACATTTCCGTGACACAGGCACAGGTGTTTTGGGTGTATCACAAGTTTAGTCAAACTAATAGGTCTTGTGAGACAGCAAAATACCTGCTTTTGTACCACGGATTTATGACTGAGTAATCAATCAAAAAACCATTATAACACATTTCCCAATCTACTGTCCTTTTGAATATTTAGAAATTCTCATTTTGAATCCTACGTGATTAGATTTTATTTCAGAGGTACCGCAATATACCAATCAACCATCTGCGTTTTATCCTGTGGCACCGCAGGAAATTTCGATGTTTTATCCAGGACTGAGTAGAGAAGCAGGACGGCCGATGTATGATCAGCAGAGACCACAAAGTTTTCAAATGGATCATAAAATTGCTGAACATTATCCCACCTTAAGAACAGCTTCAAGTCAGCAGAGCCATGTTATTCATCCGGGTTCCGGACTAACTATCAATCCGGCTCAGGCTCCACCCAAAGGCAAGAATACACAACTTCATTATGATTGAATTGATTATTATCATCAAGATAAAATCCGTTGTTATTTTCGTTTAATAGCACAACAGATCTTTAATATAATTAAATACAAAAATTATAAATATACATTGTATTTGGTTAAACTACTGGATTTTCTAAATTTTGAGCTTGTATCGTTAAAATATTTTTATCTTAATTTCAGGGGGCAGTATTACAGCTGGTTATCCGATAAGAACGCAACAACAGTATCAGCAAGCCGCTCCCGCTTCTTTGTACACAGCGCAATCAAGGCAGATGTATCAGAATTACCAACGAGACTAGACAATCGGCACTCGTAAATATCGCTTGTATTTAGAAACCTGCCTAAATTACGTAAGGCTATTAAGGGTCATACGTTTTCTTATCGCGTATTACGTGGGGTGGGTGGTGTGAATATACATACCCTTATAGATTCTTGTTAATATAAATAGTAATACACTTACTTAAAAGGTTTTTTTTAACTTAAAAAAAAAGCAATTTTTATTCAAATGAATCTAAAAAAAGACATTTTTCGATCAGAAGCGATGATCATAAAGAAGCACTTTTCCTTACTGTTCATCTGCGTTACTTTAAAGTATTTTCATTAAAAAGTAACTGACCCCTAGGGCACCCGCAGACGGGCGATTGTTGTAGCGCGACAGTTTTTACGCTGAAAATGAAACAAACTCATACTTTTAAATACAGTCCCGCACACGAGCGACTTTTTGTAGCCGCTACTAGCGTCTGCGAGCGACAGTCGCCGAGGATGGAACTTCAGAGACTTCAGAGACAGAGAAAATAATCCCTTGTCTCTGTGAAACTTGTTCCATTCTCAAAATTAGACGCAGCGTCTAAAATACGTTGGCGATTGTGGCCTGGATCGAACTCACAGGACTGAACGGGATCAAGCAGACGGGCGACAAAATTCTGGTAACGTCAGATGAATTGGTATACTTAATTTGGCTTGTACCGAAACGACATGGTGGCACTTCACGCTTCAAAGTTGTGGTTCGTGTGCAGGCACCAAAGTCGCCGGAACCCGTAGCTTAATCCCGTTCAGTCTTGTTAGCTCGATCCAGACCACAATCGCTAGAGCCTTTAAACGCTGCCTCTAACCTTAAGTATGGAACAAGTTCCAGGCAGATGATGCCTCCTGCAGGTATTTCAGTGGGGCTTTGAAAATCACAAACAACTTTGAGGTTTTTAGCGACTGAATATTCTTATACAAGTCTGCAATATTTATCTAGCAGTATCGATTAATTCAGCAATCTCAGCTCATGCATCTAATGGTGATCGCGTCGCGTTAGGTCGAGGATGATCGCGTTGCGTTATCGCGGCGTAAAAACGCTGTACTTAGATTATTATTGATTGATATTATTGTAAAAAATGATCCAAATTTACCTTACCTAAATTAGGCACGTCCCTTTGTTTTAAAAAAGTTTTTGTCAACCGATGCATCTACGTTTTTCCAGAAAGGTAATTCTAAGCTGCCGCTTTTGATTTGAAACTACAGGGTGATTCAAAATTGGCGTCATTCCTCTGGAGGTGTTGTCTGGCGCTGTTATAGGAGTACAGAAAAAATAATAAAAGAAATTATTTGTTATTAAAAACTCAGAAATTTCCAAAAAACTATATCAGAAATACGGCCGCAATGTTTTTCAAGGTAATCTGCCTAATTAGCATTGCGCAAATACCTGTTGCTTCGTAATTATTAAAAACTCCGGTAACCATGCAGAGTGACAATAAGATAGACAAGGATAAACGGTAAATTCAACAAGATT